AGCCACCCCCAGGGTTGGTTGCCCCTTTTCTTGCCCCATGCAAGTTGGCAGAGCCAGGTCTGGTCAAGAGCATAGGGGCCTGCCTCACATCTGGGGGAAGGGTATTCCATAGGGTGGGGGCCACGGAAGAGAAGGCTCTCCTTCTGGGCCCCGCCAGTCAACATTCTTTCATTGACGGGGTCCACAGCATAACCCCTCTGCTTGACCAGGTGGGACAGATCAATATAATGGGGGTGAGACGGTCCCTCAGGTAACCCGGTCCCATGCCATGTAGGGCTTTAAAAGTGATAACCAACACCTTGAATTGGATCCAGAAGCAAACTGGGACCCAGTGTAGCTCGTGCGGCAAAGGTGTGACATGTCCCATCATTGGGCCACCCAAAATTGCCCGTGCAGCTGCATTTCGAACCAGCTGTAGCTTCCAGATAGTCTCCAAGGGTAGCCCCAGTTATTCCCAGCCCCTTGCCAGTTCTTCTTAAGCCATAGGCTGCATTCAAAGAATCATCACATCAGGAAAAGTAGATGGAACCAAAAAGAAAAAGAGGGTGAGTCCAGAATAAAAAAAGGTCGGGAACAAATTAATATTGAATACATATGATAAATGAATAAGTATAAGAAAAACTCTGAGATTGTAGCCAGCCAGATGCTTGTAAAAAAATCCAGAAAGGGGGCATGAAAGCCTTAGCAGCAGGACAAAATACTCGCATATATATTTTTTCTATTTTTGCCAAATTCTAAAAAGCCCTGATGGGAAAAGTTCAGTGTCAAAATTCTGTAATTTTTAAATACACACACACATTTAGTCATTAAGAAATGCATTTGAAAGTATGAAAATGGTATACTTAGAAGGTAAATTCCAACATATTTCTGAAGATTAACTTTATACAAATTACATACATACCCTCCTCAATATTTTATGTTTGTTGGCTTCTATTTTCTAACCCCAATAATTTTAGAGAACCTCCTTTCCAAATTTCATCAGCAGACTCCATCATTTGGTGGCAAATGGGGTGGGGGACTACAGACAGCCCATGAATTGCCCATTCATGCTTTTGAAAATTTGTTTTCAGAAAAAGACTTGTCCCTGGATTATCATCACTTCCATTCCCAGTCACCAGACCTCAGATAATATCACACTAAATTCCGTCAATCAGGGCAGTGCTGCTATGGTAAGGGACCATAATTCCATGGCAGAAGATGAAGCAGATACAGTCCTGGAGTCTCCAAGTAAGACTGGGAAAGACTCTTTTCTCAAATCCTGCAAAAAGATTAGGCCAGTTTATTTGTGACGCTAAGCTACTATATCTATGGATGTATGGGTAGCTTCTATCAGGTAGCTTTGAGAACAGCATCTGCTACTCCTTCCTTATTTCCTAAGATCTCTGGCTAACCATCTTCAGTCTGCTAACTCTTGAAGAGAACTGTGTTCAACTTTCTCTTTATGCCCTAAATTTAAAGCATGGCAAGCAAACAAACCTTCTCAACTTACCTATGGACATAGTTGTTGCGATGAAGATGCAGCAAGCCACAGGATACCTCACAGGCCATGCGTTGCAGCGTCAAAGGATCAGGTGCCAAAGCCTCCGCTACATGGCAGCTTCGTAAGTAGCCCTTCAGATCACCCTGTCCGTTTAGGTTTTAGGAGATATGAATTTTGGCAAGAACTTTACAAAATGGGTTAAATCAATATATACTCTACAGAAAGCACACATTATTGTTAATGGAGATTTAACAAAAACATATGAGATTCAAAAAGGAACAAGACAAGGATATCCATGATCTCCACTTTTGTTTATCTTGGTTTTGGAAGTTTTGAATAGAGATATAAGACAAGACAAGGGGATAATGGGTGTAAAAATTTAAAAAGAGACATAAATTGAGAGCTTTTGCAGATGATTTGGTGCTGGTGTTGGAAGAGCCATTGAAAGGGATAGAACTATTAATGAGAAAATTGAAAGTGTCTGGTGCGCTAGCTGGTTTTAAGATTAATAAACAAAAAACAAAGATGTTAACAAAAAATATGAAGACACAAGATCAAATAGAATTGATGAACAAAACAGGTTTCAAAATTGAGAAAGAAGTAAAATACTTGGGCGTTAATTTGACAAATATGAACTGTATGTTGTTTCAGAATAATTATGTTAAGACATCCAATGAAGTTAAAAAACACATGTTAAGATGGGAGAAGCTACAACTGTCATAGTTGGGAAGAATTTCTGCAATAAAAATGTTTGTTTCAGACAATACCAATTGTGACAACTGACTTACCATTTAAACAATGGCAAAAGGATATATCTAAATTTATGTGGCAAGGCAAAAAACCATGAGTTTAATACAAGGTGTTGCAAGATGACAAAGAAAGAGGAGGTTTAGCTTTACTTGATTTGAAACTGTATTTTGCAGCTTGCTGTTTAGTCTAGATGAAAGAGTGGTTGACACTGAGAAACAGAAGGCTACTGGACTTAGTAGGACATGATCTGAGATTTGGACAGCACAGCTATTTATGGTATGACAAAGTTAAGGTTAATGTAGATTTCAAAAACCATTTTATTAGATGTGCCATTTTGAGAATTTGGAATAGATATAAATCTAGATTGTGTCTGAGAATATCTTTATATCTACCACCACAAGAAGCATATTATAGAAGAGAAATGGTAATTAAACAGAAATAGCTAACTTATGGTGATATTTTAGATTTCTACCAGGGTGAATTTAAAATAAAATCAAGAGAAGATTTGATATCAGAAGGATATATGTGTCATTAGTTTTCCCATGTACAATTAGTAGAAAGATTTAAAGTTGATAAAAAGACTTATGGTTTTGAACGTGATAAAACTGTATTTGAAATTGAGTTATGTACTAATGATGAACACCTTATTGCTAAAACGTATAAACTTTTGTTGAAATTTGGAACAGAAGATGAACAAGTTAAAGATTGTATGATAAAATGAGCTAAAAACTTTGGATATAATATACAAATGGAACAATGGGAAAATATGTGGATGAAAGGGCTGAAATTCAGATTATGTTATAATCTTAAAGAGAATTTTTATAAAATGATGTATCGATTGTATCTGTCACCAGAAAGATTGTCAAAAATGTATTAAGGGACCTCAAATATATGTGGGAAATGCGAACAGCAAAAAGGGACTTTTTATCATCTTTGGTGGACATGCTAAAAAATTTTGGACTCTAATACATACAGTATATCAGAAGATTTTGAAGATTAATATACAATCGAAACCAGAGACATTTCTTTTGGGGCTGATGGATAAACAATTGCAAAAATGTTATGGACCTTCGTTTTTATATATGATAACTGCAGCGAGACTTTAATATGCTGAAAGATAGAAAGACTCGATATTACCTATGATTGAAGAATGGACTGCAAAGTTGATGGAGCTAGCCAAGATGGCAAAACTGACAGCTTTGATTAGAGAAAAGATACAGTGGTAGCCCGGTTCACGGACTTAATTCGTTCTGTGACTCTGGTCGCAACCCGAATTGATCGCGACCCGAATCAAATTTTCCCATAAGGTTCAATGTAAATACGGTTAATCCATTCTGACCCCTGTGAATTTGGTCGCGACCCGTTTTTGGTCGCGTCCCGAGTCAAATTTTCCCATAAGGTTCAATGTAAATACGGTTAATCCATTCTGACCCCTGTGAATTTGGTCGCGACCCGTTTTTGGTCGCGTCCCGAGTCAAATTTTCCCATAAGGTTCAATGTAAATACGGTTAATCCATTCTGACCCCTGTGAATTTGGTCGCGACCCGTTTTTGGTCGCGTCCCGAG